AAACATTAATGAAACCTGAAGCTTTTCTTCTAGGTGTAATGAATTAATCAACTGGAAAAAAGTTTGGGAAGTTTACATGGTGACTGCTGTGAGGATTGCACATGCTAAGCATTGGGAAGGTAAAGGGGATGCCGACTGGTGGAGAATGGATTTTAAAATTGACTGAATTAGCAGAGATAGCAAAATTAACTGCTTTGATTATAGAGAAAATGGATTAGACATGTTTATGAGAGACTGAAATCCATTTGTGGATTTTCTATGTGTTAAATACCATGACAAATGGTTAACAGAGGGATTTGAGGATTAGTTTTAACATACACACAAACACACAAATGTGTGTGTGTGTGTGTACTGTACATGTATATGTATGTATATTAAAAAAAGATGTTGAGTCGGTGTGGTTGTTTATGTAATATAGAATTTCTATTATACAGAGATGGAAAAGTTTATAACTATTATAGACCCATTATGTAAGGGGAGGGGAATATATTACATTTTTGATGTACCTTTCAGTATTAAGCTGTGATAGATTTTTTCTTATGTTTAATATTAGATGTACTTATTGGGAGGGGATTGTAAACATGGATTTTGTTGTTGCTGTTGTTAGTGTTAATCGGTTTTTCTTTTTCTTCCTTTTCTTTGTTTTTCATTTTATCTTTGGTGATAAAAGTATAAATAAACATGTTTTAATGAAAAAAAGGTACTAAGAGTGAGAACTAAAAGACACAACAGAAAACCAAATACCGTATTTGCAATTTGTAGAGCAGGATCCATCAAACCAAAGATTTCTTCATTATAACTTGATTCCAAACTGATTATGTCATCAATTACCTCATCCATCTGTAACAAAAGATAAGGAGTATCAGAAATCTTAATTAGGACAAAAAGTGTCCTTACACATCAAACACTTAAAAAGGAAAGACCTTGTAGATATACAGATCGTCCTCAACTTACAACCATTCATTCAATTACAATGGATCTGTCAAAAGTTACTATGACCATTTGTCACACTCGCGACCTTTGCAGCATTCCTCCATAGTCATATGATCAAACTTCCGATCCTTGGCAACTGCATGCATTTATGACAGTTGCCGTGTCCTGGTGTTATGGGATCACTTTTTGCAACTGTCTAACAAGCAAAGTTAATGGGAAGCCAAATTTTCCTTTAACAATTGTGTTACTAACTTAACAACCGCAGTGATTCATTTAACAACTGTGACAGGAAAGTTCATAAAATGGGGCAAAACTCACTTAAGAACTGCCTTGCTTAGCAATGGAAATTTGGGGGTCCATTGTAAATTGTCAGTTTTGGACTACTGACATGAGGTATTCGTCTACCGATTCCCAGATCTTAATCATATAATAACAACATTATAAGCAACATTTATAATAACAACATTATAAATAATATCTTGTTATATTGTTTCTATTCTGTTTTTAAAATGCTGTATTTGAGTTGGAAAGTTATATAAATTCCATAAATAAAAATATCCCAATTTATTTATTTAGGAGCCAGGGCATCGAACTTCTAAACCTTCTTTGATCACCCCCAATTTTTTAATATTAAAAAAAGATTTCCTATTTCAGGATTATGTGAGCCCTACTGTAAATGTTAAGTCTGGCTATAGACCTGTTGTGCATCATATTATGTTAAGGGGATATCGGTGAGAAAAGAATAATTGCAAAATCAGCTTCAGCTTCAAAAAAAAAAATCTGTTATTTAATGCCTGGATTAACTAGTTACACAAACTCAAAGCAGCCACACAGATGAGGAAGTAAGGAAACAAAATTAATTTAAAAGAAGTAATATGAATCTAGAAACCTAGAACCAAGGGACGAAATCCTCAAAAGTAATGCACTATAGTAAGACATCTTGAAAAATATATAGATTTTCCTATTCCTGGTGCTGACAATTGCTCATATCTTGAAAGCCGATAAACAAGGAATTAGTACAAATATTACATGACTATATGCATTTGTTATACAATAACTTCTTAAATAACTACATATATATTTTCTCAGAGGACATTTTAAATATTTAATAAGCTTTTTCACTATAATTTTCCCAGAAATACCAATCCCAATATTCCTTAAACTGAAAATTATAACAGCTAGATTGTAGTATGGATAGAAACTCTTATTTTCTAATTGAGTAGTCTGAAGATTTTGTTGCTTGAAAGGAATTATATTAGGGATTTGAATAATTGGCATTCCTGTAAAGCAAATTATTTTTGGCTATTTAAAAAATGCATTTGCATGTTTTATTGACAGAACACAAATGTATTTAACAATTAGAACAGATCTCCATGAATAAATAATCCGATCAGATCAAAGACCACTGAGTTACTGGGATTTATATCCTAGTGAAAGCCTACAAAATTCAAGCCACAGTCAAAATTCTAACACTGTTTGTAATTTCTAACTGTTCTGAGTTTTCTCGCTGTTTCATGCCCAATATTTGTTAACTGGATAAAAGCATAACCAAGTACGCCATATGAAATGCCTGGCGGCCATTTTGACCAGGAACATATCTGTAGGATACATGCTATTTCCAAATGTGTAAATTATTCAATTGCTTTCTAACTGCATTTTAGATAGCGTAGTGAATGGAATGAAATGAATGAATCAATAATCTGAAATGAATAAATCTGAAATAGGCCTGGAGATCTTAACAATCACATAAAGATTCTATCAGATGATATCCAGAGCATACATACCTGCATGCATGACACTCGAGAATGTGTATTCAGAGACTGGCATTCATTTTCGGCTCTGTTGTTTTGTTCTTCAAATTTATAAAAGCCCTGCAACCATGAAAAAAAGAGAACGAATGTAAGAACAAATAAAATCAGAATGGGATAGAGTGCAACAGCAGGATAAAATATCATTTAACTGATATTTAAATAACCAAAAGACTTTAGAACAGAAAGTTAATCCTGTCACAACAGAATAAATACATCAGATTTTAATAATGAAAATTAAGGAGATGCAAATACTGTAGTGGTTTGATGAAATAAATAGCACTTATGGCAATCCAAAACTACTTGCTGTACTCAAAAGGTACAATTAAAAAAACAATTTTCTTCTACAAACAAATCAATATAAAAAAATCCTAGAAAGATGCATGCAAACTAGCCTTTTATTCTGATTCTGATTCTGGAAGATTATTTACTAGTCTGTGAAATCAGGTGGTCCTCACAATTTGTTCCCCAATAATTTTCACTACTATGGAGTTCCATACCTCAACAGACATGTTGTCCATTCTTGGTTTAATCCCTATTAAATCCAACTACACTAGCAACCAAGGGCACATCCTGCAGTGGAGAATTATGCACATTCATAATTCAAAAGTCACATCGTGTTCATTTGTTCCTATGGCAGAGTTTTTGGCAGCTAATGAGTCCTCCCCCCCCCATTTTTAGCGCGCACTGGTGCTTTAATTCTCCTCACACAAATGGTTGTTCAAGTGATGTGATGGAGGTAGATCAATTGTGATAGCGAGGAACATTCTGGGGTTAGTTTGGCTACTCATAAATGGGTGTTCTTTGACTGGCAAAGACAGCTATTTTGTTGAATGCGCAAAATTCACTAAAAAGTATCAATGTTGCCTAAGCTCCAAAAGTTTGCCTACCTGTGTTAATTGGCTTTAATGACAGGAAATTAGTCTAAATTTGTTCCTTTATTGTTTATCGAAATATTCATTGATTACAACTTTAAAACAGAAGTCCCCAACTCCATGGCCATGGCCCACTACCAGCCTTTAGCCTTTCAGAACCATTTAATTGAAACTGGAAAAAAAAAATATGAGATTTTAATTTTAGGATTTGATGCTTAGATAAGTTTATGATGATAGAACTATCATGCATTGACCGATGACCTCTGGAGAGCCAGGGACGGAGGCTTCGCCTCCATCCTGGTTCTCCTTGACCTCTCAGTGGCTTTCGA